TGGCGAGCGACGCCGCGCCCGATAGACGAGTTGTCCCGCCCGTTAGTTTGGATATGAGTGTCTAATTTTGCCCGTTACGGTCGTGTCTGTGCTTGAATCCAAATGAGTTTAGCAGCTTCGATCGACAAACTGAGGCACATCAGGAAGTTGCCGCGCTTGGCCGCACGATCGCGTGCGCGGTGGCGCGACAAGTTACTATTGTCCTGTCCGTCTCCCTTGTTGACAATTTGCGGCAACTAGCCACCGACGCAAAACTACAGACTGTCTTCTTCCGAGGCACATAGCGCCTTTCTTCCTTGTCAAGTTCAAATTGTGCAAGACATTCAGGTGGAATCATTCTTAACATTGGTACTTTCATCGAAAATTGAGCACCTAATGGCCCTGTCCACCCTGATCGTGTAGGCTAAGTCGCGCCTGCCAATCGTGGCCATCCATGACGCGAGCAGCGAGCGCCATTAAGGAAGGTCCAGCGCTGGGACTGACTCCGCCCTTGCGGTCAGAACGAACGGCACCCTTCATATGGCCAGTCACTGGAAGTGCGTACAACCTTCACCATAGATGGTAGGGTAATACTAGCAAACTGAAATACCTCCGTGGCATACACCGCACCAGCCGACGATGGATATAAATGAGACTGAGTCCTGTACTTGGAGTGAGCTGATTATTACCAAAACAAAACTGATACCAGTTCATCGCCTTATCCTTATCTCGTATTTTCAAACGCAGCTCCTGCCATTTTCTTGAGACTCATTCGAACTTGCTGAGCGGAATTCCAACGAATGAAGAAGTTGTATGAAATGCCATGAGGATTTCTGGGGACCTTCCACACACATGATTGAAAGCTGATTTCTGATGAAAGCCCGATTCCCGTAAAGCCTAATAATGCGCGAGGGACTGTGCGGAGTAGTGTACAGCACAAGACGGCTTCGGGAATTCTCGTTCCTCCTACGAGGATTGGTGTGGGCATCACGTTGGTGAAACGGGAGAAATCAAGAACTGGGAAAATTCCACGCAACTCTGATTACAATCGCTCTTCCTTGATCAGCAACCGATGGCGTAATGTGTTTCGAACGGTGCTGTGCCCCTCTCCTACTATCGAACCTAGTGACTCCGTCGCGCCATTGAAGCAGTGATGAAACGCATCTGAAATCTGAAAATTTAACAATTAAAAACTACCCGTGCCCTCGCAAAATATCTCTTATTCAATCCCTTTTATCCAAAGCGACATTATAACAGCGTGTGTATACAAGCACTTCCTCTTGACAAACATTTTCAAGTGGTTCGATGGATGATACGCTCGGCCACTTTGAAATGTACCGATTTGCTCTGCTACTTCTCCTCCTGTACCAAAATGTATACTATGCAATCTCCAGCAAAGATGAAAATCGCCTCTACAGGTATTTTTTATGCTTTACAAAAACTAATCAAGTTATTCATAAGAGTGTTATTCACTGCCGGGAGGGGAAGGCGTATTCGACTGTGGAGGGAGTCGTACCTAACCCTAGAGAAAATTTTTTCTGGGTTGTTGACTTTCCGCGGTTTTTCCTCTTTCCTGTGTGAAATGCGGTACCTCGCCCCGCAAATGAGAGAGGAATTGTTTGGGAAATTCCGGAAAAAGTGGTGCGTGCGAAAGTTAGGGAAACACTCAGAAGATAATAGATAGAAGGGGAGGCGAGGCAAAGTGGGAATTGAGGGAGCAAGTAGTCGCTTTTCCTTACGCTTGCGCGACAGAGTGCCCATTTCAATGCTCACCGAAGTACAACACTGTATTTAGCCTCCGCATCAAAAATCACTAAAGAACAATTGAGCGATAATCGAAAAAAAAACCGCCAAAAAGACAAAGCGATTCAACGGAAGATGAACCAGCTCTGTCGGGTTTCCAATGTAGCCTCGCTTGGTTCTACGGTACCGGGCGACTTCTAATTATGGGCGGAGTAGGCAGGGACCTCCATAATTGTAATTTATAAAAAATTCGTTAAGCACTAATAATCGTTCCAACAGTGGCGTCGTGAGAAAACAAGAAAGATACACAAATTGCTAACTGTTACATGATCCAATGGCTGGGCCATGGTGTTTGAAAATGGGCTTTCGACGCACTTACAGAATTGGTTTACAAATTTGAGATTTCGGCGCAATGAAAGTGGTTATTGTGCTGTTTTCTGACGGGGGGGGGGGGCATTTCGTACTACAATTGCTTCTCTAGTTCCGGTTTACAAATCTCGCTCTGGTAAAACTTGTGAAGCTGGAGCAAGATCGTCTAGCTACCATCCTAAAAGCGGCAAAGCCTATCTAATTGGTTGGCATATCTATGGAAAGCAGGATGCCCCCCCCCCCCGTCGACAAACTGCGTCAGTGTTATTTATTAATTTTTAGGCATGCGTAAATCGGATAAGAACAATTTAGTGGAACACATTCCTGTAAACTTGCCTGTACTTACTGATAGGCACTGTTCTTTTTACTTATTTATTCATTTATTTATTTATTTAACTATTTGGTTATTTATTATCCTTATTTCACAATTGTAGAAATTTTAGAGCTATTGGATTGTAACATCTTTTTTAGAGAAGTCCTCAGTAACTATAACAAACTGGTCCGACCCGTCGTCAATCCTACCGACACCTTGAGAGTTGAAATGAAGGTCTTCCTGCAACAAATAATGGGTTTGGTGAGTATTTTTACTCGCATTACCCCATGTGGAGAATAATCGTGGATGATCGTGCAGTCGCGATCCCTGCGAACACAGGGCCTATGAGGGGCGTGGATTGGGCGCTGCCAAGTCAGCTTTTTCCACCGATTTTTACAGATTGAGGATGACACCGATTGGTGGAAAAGGCCGCGCTAGCTTTGTTTTATCCATGCCCCCTCACCCGCCCTCTCTTTCGCAGGTGTAATGGATTTATGCAACTTTCAGGATGGAAAAAACCAGATCATCGAATTGAACGCGTGGCTGAAGTTCGTGAGTTGAAATCTTCTCGTTTCTTTTCATATTCCTTCTTTTGCATCCTATCCTAACAAACTACCCGTACCCTTTTCCAAACTGGGAGCAGCATGCTCTACTTGCTCACTTGGTGTCCGGAGAATGCTTGTACAAGGTTACAGTGTTGGCTTCTTACTCGTTCCCCAGTATTCCAACAGCTTAGGCCGCGTCCTCTTTCGCAAGTGAAGCGATTCAATCGCACGATCCTCAAATCACCCCACTGTGCCGATCGCGCCTCAGTGCTAATTAATGGACAACTGCGGTGCTAATGGAACAATGTACACGAGAGAACCCTTTTCGGCCATTTGCAGCGGCTCAGCCACTAGCGGAGGAGCGCGGTCAGCCACACTCGCGTGACTGAATCGCTCGAGACGTGAAGTATGAACGCTGCCTCATCTGTCTCGCTTTATTTCCA